GTGTGTGTGTGTGTGTGTGTGTGTGTGTGTGTGTGTGTGTGTGTGTGTGTGTGTCCAGGTCTTACCAGTATGGTTGTGATGGTAAGAGTGGTGTTGAACAGGGTGTCTGTCACATTGATTGATGGAAGAGTTTTCTCCATGGACAGTCCATCTTCAGAGTGCCACAGGCCGATCTGCAAAGTGACAGAAAGAGATCAGTCCATCAGCAGGAAGAGGCCAACAGAAACAATCAGACTTTCATTTTCTGCCTCGTCACTAACAGAAGATCAGAGTGACCTTCAGACTGGACAGATGTGAGATCAGGTGACAACAAAACTCWGTCAGACTGAAGAAAGAAACAAAAAGAAACACATGAGGCTCCTGTTCAATCAGAGGCAACACAAGGAAGTCATTAAAACAATTACCCACAATTCCTGTGGAGCAGAAACAACCTGACACACATTTTTATCTGTTTGTTACATTTCCTGTTTCACTCATTCATTTATTTAACTCAGATTTGTTTTTAACTCTGTAAACATTTTGTATTTTAAGTTTAAATGATTTTTCTTTCAGGAACACATTCCTGTAACTTTTCTGTTTTTATGCACTGATGAGAAACAACTTTGCTTTTACCTTGAATTAAAAAAAATGCACATAAAAACACATAAAATACAAAATACTCCAACAAAAACGATTTTAACAGTTTTTCTATGATTTTGCCAATTTTAAATTGAAAAGCCTCCTCTTTGGTTATTTTTTATAGTTAAGAGTTTTGTGGCTGCAGAAACACAAGAAATCYTTTTTCCCTGTGGAAGATTCTCAGGCTGTTATTTTATTGATGCAGCTGAAACAGAAACATGTTATTTAAGTGTCAGACTGGYTTACAGCAGCTGATGTATGTGTTGGAACAGAAAATAACCTCAAGACAAACAGACATCAAGCAAACATTCAAACAAACAGTTTGCCTTTTTTAATCTGTGGAACTTTCAGTATTTTATTAAATCTTWTAAAAAACAATAAAATAAAACAATGCTTAAAATATTCTATGTAAACTAATTTGCAATTAAATTGTAATCTTCCCACATGCTCACCTTTATCTCAAAGGTTACAAAAATAATTTGGCTTTGACTCAAAYGAAGATTTAATTTGAGTCACTGAACAATCAGGAATATTTTACAGATTGAAGTCAAACCAGAGATGATGATAAAACACCAGTGATTGAAGTTTTATTAAAAAAACACAAAACTATAGTTTGTTTCATGACTAAACTGTCAAAAGAAGCCATTTAACTGTTCTGCTAACACTGATGATGAAATCTGATCTGTCAGACTTCAAAAGAATCAAATAAAAGTCGAGGCAGCTCCGAAAACAAAAAGATTTCCTTTGAGAGTTTTGGATCAAAAAGATCCAGACTTCTATTTCCTGTGGTGCACTTGTTGAGAAAAAACATCACCTTGCTCACACAAACAGACTCCAGCTACCCCACCCCCACACACACACACCTGACACATGACACACACACACACACACACGCACACTTCCGTCATTTCCGTATGAGTTGAAATAAGGACAAAGCAGAGCTGTGCTGTCTGTGAGCTGCTTCACTAACAAGAGAAAACAATAAATGCATCAACTAATGGACTCAACAAATCAGATCACTTTCAAATTTTAATGTGTTTTACTTTTTACATGATGTGCTCCAGACACTTCATATTGTTTATTTAAAATGTAAACAGAAGAATCATTAGACCCTGAAGCCCAAAAAGATAGAAACAATGACAAACTAATTAAAATGATGTAACACCAACATTAATGAGCACCACTCTAATCTGAGAAGGACCATGTTTAATCTGACATCATTTTCTCTGAAGCACACTCAGAAATAATTGTGTTAGTTGTGTAAATATATCATGATGGGAATCCCAGTGATCATATTAATCCAGCTGATGGAACAACATCAAACTGTTACTGTTACACAGTTTACCTGACATTTATCACACAAAGAAGCCGTTTGACACAAACACCTGGATTCAGACACTGACGCCGAGTCAGCACCTCTGTTGTTTCTGACACAAACACCTGGAGTCAAAAGAAAAGGAGCAGGAAGGTTTGGTGGAGATTTATCTGAACTGACGCAGAGCCACGACGAAGCTGCAACACTGTGAACATTTAGAGATGGAACAGATTTGCTCGCCTCAACCTGCAGTTAAACTCTCAAGGAGCTTTTTTGTCAGCAGGGATTTTAAAGCCTCTGTAATTTTTCTTCCATTTCTATTTTTTTACACCAAATCACCAACTGGATGTTTTCCTTCAAAGCAACGTTACGAACGAAAAACAAAAAAAATCATGTCTGAGACCTTGGTAAAGTTTTGTGAACTAAATCTATTTAAAAGGATGAAGTACAGATAAAACAGGTAAAGAACAGCAAACAGGGCAGGAGTTAGAAATGTTAGAGTAATAGTGTTTTTAGTTTTCTAAAGATTCTTTTAGTTTTTGATCTCAGGAGATTCATTGATTCATTCAGTTTTGAACCAGGATAGAAGAAAAACCTTGAGTCAGATCTAATTTGCCCACTTAAAAGCTTTGGATTAACAAATGTTTTATGGCAATATTATTAAAAGTCTTGCAAAATTAAAAAAAAATAAAGACAACCAAGATGAAATCATCTTATTAATAATTAACTAATTTAGAATCATGTGAAGAAAAATAGCCAAACAAGTTATTAGTTTGTGTAAACAGGCCCACAAAGTGAACCAATCAGTGCTTCAGCCTTCATCACTGTGATGTAAACTAATATTTAAACGGATAAACTACAAGATGTTATTTAAGTTTGTTGCTTGTAGCCTAAAATCATTTGTCAGTGTTGGATGAAGCTGCAGATGATCTGTTTTCACCACATTTACTCASATTGTTAAAACCTGACTCTGACCCTCTGAACTATGACATCATGAGACAAACTGGGACTGCGAAAAGCCTCATCGGCCGTGTTTGTACAGAACAAAACAAAGAACCTCATTTCAGTGTTTCTCATTCTGCCARTGCAGTCTTATTAAATRYTTATTTCCAGGCGAGTATCAACACATTATTACTGTGCATCTAATGAATCTGGGGAACAAACCCAGACTTTTGATGAGAGCTTTGCTCAGTTTGGTCTCCTGAGAAAAAGGAAGGGAAGTAGGAGAATCAGGCAGAACAGGAGAGGAAGGAGACGCAGAGGAGTGAAGAAATGATGAGAGAAGCAGCAGAACGTCAGTCACTTACTGAGGAGGTGTGGTGAGGCTGCAAATGGAAGGAAAATCAATGACAGACGGTGAGGAGCAGCAAGCTGGGGAGCCAGAACATCAGGAGGAGAGAAGAAGAGCAGCTACTGGGAGAGAACTGATGTGGATGAAAAATATGAGCAAAGGTAAAAAAAAGAAGAAGATAGAGAGAGTGACAACAAGAGGAACAGCGCACCCTCTGAGGGATTACCTGAGTTCATCCTGCTGCAGAAATTACAGCAGGAGGAAACGATTAGGGCGGC